GCATTGGATTCTAAGCACAGCTTCCTACAGCTTATGTTCTCCTGACTTCAGGGCCCATTCACCTTCCCCCCACAACAAGCTTTGGAACGACCTGAGGAAAATAAACAGCCACTTCACAACTAAATAATTGCCTAAATTAAATCCACCTCTCTCTGCTGGAAAAATAATGCCGGCTGCTGTTCTTTCCACATTTCTACAGAATTACAGACCATCCTCCATCTGCCGTGCTAATGGATCAATAAACAAAAAGCCCTCCCCCTTGAGGAGCTTCCACTGCCTCTCTCAAGACAAACACACTGAAACAGGACAGTTAATTAGAGGAAGAATGGACTGATTCACTGTTTGCTTCCCTGTAGGAGCCAAAAGAGTGCGAGTGAGAAAGAAAACGTCCAATTGGGCAGCAGAGTGGGGAGGCAGGCAGAGTGCAGTCCGAGACCTAGACAAACTCGGGGGCGTGGGCCCATGTGCTGGAAGTCAGGGAACCCTGCCTTCCAAACTACATTAAAAACAAAAACAAAAAACAAACAAACAAACAAAAAAAACGCTTTTATTGATTCCTTTTAGAGAGAGGGGAAGGGAGAGGGACAGAGAGATATCAATAGAAACACTGATGAGAGAGAAACATCATCGAGCGGCTGCCCCCTGCACACCCCATACCAGGGATCGAGCTCACAACCTGGGCGTGTGCTCTGGCTGGGAATCCAACAGGGGACCTCCTCGTTCACAAGTCAATGCTCAACCACTGAGCAACACCAACCAGGCCACATTGATTTGGGGGGGAGGAAGGGGGAGCATAAAATGTCAAGAGGTTCATCCTTTGGTGCCTGCTCAAGGACCCCAGGTGTACAGAACCTCTGGCCTCACTTCTAGAATTTACTCCGCAAGGTGCATCTAAAATACTCTGTGCCACGTGCTCTATAATAGCCAATGATGGGAAACAACCTGAAGGGCCCTCGAGGGGGAACCCGATTAGCAAAGATCGAGGCCAGTAACAAGATCTTAATGGCATGAACCGATGAGTGTCCTGGAAAACAAAGACCGAAGCGCGTGGTTAAGTGGAAAACTCCAGGTCCAGACCGAGGGGCCGAGCAGAACTGGGCCACACAGTATTCCTGGAAGGCTGCAGAAGAGACTGGAAGCGTGTTTGTGTCCGAGATGGGAGCCTGGACCATGAGGAACGTGAATATTACTTTTTAATTTTTAATCTGGGTTATTATTTTTTAATCAAAAGAAAACTGGTTGGAGACAGATTAATAGTCGAAGGGAGAGAGATGGAGAAGGGGGGAGGGGAGAAAGGAGAGAGAGAGGAGAGGAGAGACTGGTGGTTTTAGAACTTCTGGTCTAGCCAAGTCCTAGAGCGGCCCTAGCCCTGAGAACAGTGGGTAATGAGAGACGCTGGGCACAGAGACATAAAGGGGCAAACATCTCGTAAACGCTGCGCCCGGCTCGGGCGGCTGCCGGGCTGAGAGCAGCTGGGCCTTCTCTCGCTCAGCGTGGGGCTCTGCTGGCTTGTCCTCCCGCCGAGCCAATCCCGGGACATCATCGCGGCAACGCCAATATTATTTTTTAAAGGCTTCTGTTGTTCACTAAACACCCATTAAACCAATCTCCTCGCCCATTTACAGCGAGCTGAAGGGCAAATCCAGATGGCACACATAATGAACACTCGGGCCTGAGCTGCAGGAGGCCGGTCATCAAACAGCCATTATGCAGCTTAGAGGCCGCCAATGCCTGCCACCTGCATGTGTCCAGGTGAGAACAGACCTTTCCAGAGCCAGCTGGGCTGGCTCCCTCTTGGCAAACCATCTTTGAGCTCCCCACCCCGCCTTCTCCTCACCACCACCACCACCACCACCACCACCACGCCGCCCCTGCTGGGGGGGAGGGGGGACTGAATTTGCTTTTTGTATCTAAACAGCAACAGCAGCTGAGGGTTGCCTGGTAACCTGGGAAGGCGCTTTGTCTGGGTGTCCCTGAGCAGAGGACAGACTGCCGCCCCCTCCCACACGGCTCTGGTGGCCACGCCGATCGCGCAGTCCCAGCTCCCACTGGCCTCTATGCCCATGGCATCCTGGAAAGGGTCCATGGGAGGGATACCCCTGTTTACCTATTCTGATTGACAGGCATTCCCCCCTCTGGTCTTCGGATACAGAAAAACAAAAGGAACAGAACGCAATCTACTGGCTGAGTTTTCCATCCTCGAGAGGCTCGGGACCAGGGCCGGAGCCTCCCAGGGGGCACACAGGATGGCTAGCCCACCCGGTGCAGCCGCCGAGAAGGAACAGGAAGCCCTCGGTCCCCATGTTCCCACCGCTTGCCATGAAAAATGCGCGCTTTCAAAACAACAATGCGGTACCGTCTCACACCTGTCAGAATAGCCAACATCAACAGACAGATAAACGACAAGTGTTGGCGAGATTGCGGAGAAAAAGGAACCCTCGTTCACTGCTGGTGGGAATGCAGACTGGTGCAACCACTGTGGAGAACAGTATGGAATTTCCTCAAAAAACTGAAAATGGAATTCCCATTTGACCCAGTAATCCCACTCCTAGGAATATATCCCAAGAAACTAGAAACACCAACCAGAAAGGATATATGCACCCCTATGTTCATAGCAGCACAATCTACAATAGCCAGAATCTGGAAACAGCTTAGGTGCCCGTCAGCAGATGATTGGATCAAAAAATTATGGTACATCTATACAATGATATTCCATATGCTGCCATAAAAAAGAAGGAATTCTCATCATTTGCAGCAACCTGGATGGAATTGGAGAACATCATGCTGAGTGAAATAAGCCAGTCAATGAAAGAGAAACACCACATGACCTCACTCATTTATGGATAATAAAGAACATTATAAACTGATGAACCAAAAGATAGATATAGAGACAGTAAAACAACAAGCAGACTGTCAAATTACAGCGGGGAGGGGAGGGAGATCTGGGGGAGATAAGAGATCAACCGAAGGACTTGTATGCATGCATATAAGTACAACCAATGGACACAAAACTCTGGGGAGGGAGGGCATGTATGGGAGTGCGGGGCGATGTTAAAATATGTACACAGATAATAATTTAATAAAATAAATTAAAAAATAAAAGAGTTTTTCTGAAATAAAAAAAGAAAAAGAAAAATGCGCGCTTTCCTGGAGCCCGCTGGCCTGTCTTGGCCACCAGCCGGTCTGGATGCTCAAGACGAGAACAGTGGACAGCACCCGTCGTCGGAGCCTGGCAGGCTCTTCCCGCTGAGCCTCTCGTCCCCGAGCTCACGTGAGAGGACTTTTTATTTCCTGGCTGTATCCCGCGTGAGAAGCGGTGGGAGGCGGCGAGGACCGGCCCACGAGGAGAACATATCCCGGTTCTCCATGAATAATTCATGCAGGACGCACACAGAACATAGGTCCGTGAGGGCTGGCTATGGCACCGCTGTGACTGTTTTGCACGCGGCCTGTCTCGTCCCCTAGGTTTGGAGGTCACCGAGCCCGCACGCGATGCAAACATCAAACTGCAGTGACTGCACGGAGCGGGGGAGGCCTTTCTCCCTGAAGCCCTGGTGTGACAGGGCTGACTGGGCACCCAGCCGCTCCTCCCTGGTCCGCTTCGGAGAAGCCCGGGCAAGGGGAGGTGCCCGTCCCCAGCACCATCTGCCCGCTGTCAAGTCCTGAGTCCACGGCCCACGGAAGAGTGGGGAGGGCGAGGGTCGCCCGGGGCTTACAGGTTAAACGTGGGACTTACCGTATTTTTCGGACCATTAAGAAGCACTTTTTTTCCCCCAGAAGTGGGGGGAAAAAGTCCCTGCGTCTTATGGTCCAAATATAGCCTACACATATACTTTTAAAAAAAAAGTTTTTTTACTTGCCCGGCTCTGTGTGGTCTCTGTGTGCTTGCCCGGCTCTAAAATGGTTCTAAATGCTGCTGTTTACTTTACAGGGTTGATTACATGTGTTTATGACTGTGATGTTGGGTTTTAATGCACATAAAATATTTTAGGACACTATTTGTTTCAGAATCTTTTTTTCTTCATTTCCCTTCTCTAAAAACTGGTGCGTCTTATGGTCCGGAGCGTCTTATGGTCCGAAAAATACGGTAAATTCAACCGAAAAGAAAGGCATCCGCCTCCCCTCACGCTAACTGGCCCTTAATCAGCCCAATGCCCTGAGTTAGGGGTGTCGAACTCAATCATAGAAGGGGCCAAAATCTAAAATCCAGCCTAAATCGCGGGCCGAATGGTTTACTGAACAGTCATAAACTGTCATTGTGATGGAAACGCAGCGGAGTGCAGTGATGACAGCGCGGTGCGGGCCACATTGCAAGGCCTGGCGGGACGGATTTGGCCCGCGGGCCTTGTGTTTGACACATGTGCCCTGAGTGAACGACAGGTGCGCCATGGGGGTGGGGTGGGGTGGGGTGGGTCTCACAGGGAGCCCGGAAAGCAATGCCACCTTCCTAGTTCACCTGCAACTCCCGCTCAGTGGGCCTCGGCCAGTCTGCCGTCCCCCTTGGTCCCCCGGAGCCTCGGGGGCGGCTATGTGATTCCCCTCAAGGGAGGCACGCCCTCCAACCAGAAGGCGTGACTTTGTGGCGTTTTTTTTTTTCAATTTTCTGGCTCCAAAACACTGGCCCGTGAGGGAAGTGGCCAGTTTCCCCGATGAATCAGGAAGAGGAAAGTCATGCATACAAGAAGGATCATTCAGGGTCCGTCCGAGAGGGGGAGACACAGGGACAAAGGGCCTCACGCTCTGACCCAGACCAGCCCGGTCCCACCCGAGGCGTCCGTGTCCGCTGTCCCCATCGGAAAGACGATCAGGAGGCGCGGTGACCTCCCGTGCAGCAAGCAGGTGGTTTGGAGAGTAAGTGAGACAGGAAGGCCCTGTGTGTGGTGGGGTGAGTCCCGTGGAGGGGTGGGCCCGAGCCCCTGGAATTTCCCGCCATTCCTCCTGCCCCCAGGCCCCGGCCCGCCCTGCCCAGCTCAGTCTGGGGTCCGCAGCGGGGAGCTTGCCTGGAAGGGGCCCAGCGCCCCCGATCCGGATGGACAGTTCGCTCGCGGGGAGGAGCAGCCTGGGACTCTCGGCATCAGACTTCTTCATCCACGCGGGGTCCAAGTTCAGGGCCAGGGCCGTGTGGGGGTCTTCCGCCACGCCCTGAAACAAGAAGCAGTCACTGTGACACCTCTCTGAGCGTCAGCCCCACCCCCTCCCGCTCAGAGCTGCCCGGCAGCTGCCAATCTCTACCGAGGGCGCAGGGCCACCGAGCCAGGCCCCAGCCAGACCCAGCTGTGGGCAGGCGGGGTCGTTAGGAGGAGGACGAGCTTTCTGGTTGTAGGACTTTGGGGGGTGACAGAAATGGAATGTGCGGGGTCCGTGCCGATCCTGGAAACGGGCAGTACACAGCCAAATCCCAGCCCGCCGGGGAGAGGGCGCCGCCGGCTCCGCCCGGGCTCCGGCCAGGAAGCCCATCGGTGGGTTCGCTTGGATGGCGGCATGGCCACCACTTTCCAGACATTCGCCACCTTCACGGTTCTCACGAGCTCAGAAGGGAAGGCCGTCCGAGCTACACCCCTGGAAGGAGGGGGACGGAGAGCGCCGTGGAGGTCCCAAAAGCAACCATGCCACCTGCTGCTTCACCTGTCACCAATTAATTCGACCTTGTGCGTCAACCAGGCAACGTCATCATTTCAATCCCCACATTTACTCCACAAACACTGACTGACCACCAATTCTGTGGCTGCTTGGTGAACAAAACAAGACATCAGCTCTCAGGTTCCAGTTAAGAGCAAACAGGTGGCCTTGGCCGAGTGGTTGCAGGTTCCCAAGGTTGCAGGTTCGATCCCTGGTTAGGGCACATACAAGAAGTAACCAATGAATGTGTCAAAAAGTGTGATAATAAATCAATGTCTCTCTCTCTCTCAAATCAATATATAAAAAGTAAAAGAAGAGCAGACAGATGAATCCACAATGAGCTTCTACTCCCACAGCATCGGCCGGAACTCCCTGGCCCTGCTGACAGCTTACAAATGCACAGGATTTCTAGGGGAGTGAGGAAGAGGGGTGACTCCACCAACACACACACCTCCGCTTTCACCCCAACACCTAGACGCCAAGGGAAGGTGAGTGGAATCATCTCGATGAGCATAAAAGCAGCAGCTTCTGACTGAAAACCAGGCAATAACAGCTCCATTCATGAGCAAACACTGGAACCGTTTTCTCCGGTGAGTTTCTTTCATGACAAGAATCTCGTGAAAATGGTGCTTGGCTGCATCTTACACACACACACAGGGATAAGAAAGAGAATTGAGTGATCCAGACATTTTATTTCATTATTTCTTTCCAAAGAAAAGCTACAAGCGAAAACATCGACCCTTCTGTCTACATCTTCGCCTTCGTCCCACAACGGTATCACCCCCATCGTTTATTTGCAATGTCCTCCATTACGCATAGAAGGGTGCTGACACCTCATTGAAGTTTGTTTTAAAAGGCGGGGGGAGGGGGAGGACCCTCGAAGCTCCCGGTCCTTCTGTAGAATCCTAGGGCTGCAGGACGTCACCTGCTACCTGCTCTGTCCCTGGAAGACGCACAGAGGGACGGCCTGCCACACTGGGCGACACTCAAGGCTGACGCCACAGATGGACGGAATCCTGGGGACAGAAGGAACGTGGGGAAGGCCCGTCTCCCCCTGCGGACACCCTCCTCCCCACTGAGTGACAGCTGGCGCTGGTGCCATGCGCCATGTGCCAGAAGCTGCAGCTCTTTGTTTATGGGTTTAATTATTTCTAATCCTACATCTCCCGCTGACATCGGAGGGATCTCGGCGGCGGCAATAAAAGACGTGCCTCTCGGGGGCCGGAGGCGGGCAGCTGACCTTGCTGTGTCTCCCTTCTGTTTAGAAGGGGAGGGATGCGTGGCTGGGAGGAGGCTGAGGGAGAGAACCACTTCATTACGGCGAGGCGAGGCACAGCGCCATGGAGGCAGCCAGCTGCTTACGAAGGAGCGGCCGGAGAGCACCGTTTTAACTGGGAACGGTGGTTTTCCAGGGGCGATTTCCCCCTACCCCGCCACCACCTGGGGGCACTTGGCCACGGGCATCTTTGTATGTGGGGGAGGGAGAGAGGGGTGGGGCTGGCACCCTACAGGGCACCCTCCAGTCCCACCACAAATGGCCCGGCCGATCGTCCACAGTGCTGAGGCTGAGAAGGATTTAGGGCGCTCAGGACCCCAAAGCTCCCTGGTTATTGGTGACCCTGGGCACCCATGGACCCTCTTTTTACTCTAAGGATAAGGTGTCAGCCACTTCCTCCAGGAAGCCTGTCCCTTGCAAAGCACAACTAGGTACGTGGCATCAGGTGCCAAAGCCCTGGAGGTTCCCCACCCCCAAAAGTCACTCCCTCGCCCCCAAATATCACGGCAAGCAGCCCCCCCCCCCTCTGTGTCCACCTGTCCCTGTTGCTTCCCCAGCTGAGATGTGTCCCCGCTTGCAGGGGAAGCACAGCCGCCCCCTCTCGTGGACTGTGGCAGCCTGACCTCACCAACCCCACGCCACCGCCTGTCACGTCACTGCGGGCTGAGCTTCCCGGCCCCGTGGCAGGTAATCTATCTAATGGAGGTCTGTCAGCGGGTCAAACTGCCTGACGAAGGGCCGAGGGAAAGGGCAGAGAGCTAATTGTGTTCCCCGCCAGCCACAGCCAATCCAGGCCCATTGCCCCCCACGGCCGAGGGAAGAAGGATCTAAAGACCAGCCACGGCCGCCCTCAGGGACTCCGAGGCTGCGGGAGGCCGGGAGCTCTGCGGGCTCTGCCTCCTCCTCCGCCCCCACCAGCCACCCGCGTCCCTCACCATCCCCGCCTAACCCAGACACTTCAGGTGACATTAAATAATTGATGCTGTTTTTATTACTAAGGGATTGCAATAATGATGACATCCGTAACAAAGCCTTAAAGTATTCCACATGATGGAAAAAACTAAAGATCCCCCCTGTCAGCAGCCCGAATATGGATGAAGCTGACATAACAGGTGACCTTCTCTCCCCGGGGAGCCGGGCAGCGGCCTGCTGCCCAGGGCCAGGCCGGCCCAGGGGGGGAGGAACCGGCCTCAGAGCAAACAGGAGCACAGGGTGGCCGAGACTCTGAGACAGCGGGTACATGACTCTGAGGCAGCAGGCTCCGTCAGCAGGTCACTGCCGTCTTCCTGGTCTCAGTTTGCCTGTATGTTCCAGGTCACGGGTCGTAGCCAAGAAGCCTCAAGGTATGTTGTTTCAAAATACGAGGTCCCTACTGGTTTCAAGGGCACCAGGATTGTTCCTCTAACTCCACGGGAGGCCCTGTCCTGACAACAACAAAACAGCACCCAGTGAGCGGCCAGCCAGGCCTGGTCTCCAGCTCCTCATTTCCTATACTCGATGCTCCTAAAATCCTGGCTGAAGAAGCCCAAGCTCCCTCCTCCAAGAAGCCTTCCTAGATTAGCCCAGCCTCGTCCGGGTTACAGATGCCTCCTGGTTGTGCTGCCCTGATGTCCCACACGCGCTTCTGTCGTCACGTTTGCAAAACTGCACAGTAAACTTCCCGTTTCCTTGGCTCCTGAGATGCTTAAAGCAGGAGCTGTGGCTTCCAGCTCCACTGTCAAGCCCAGCACAGTGTCAGTATTCAATAACCAAGCTGACCGACTGGCGTGAACAATATCACAGAAAATCCAAAATGATGTACAGCAAGCATGTCAGGCTCGTGGCCCTCAGGCCACACGCGGTCCACAGCGAGTATTTCTGCGGCCCGGCTCATATAACGGTATGCAAGAAATGTTTTAATAAAAAATGTAATAGCTTCCTTTTTTCAATATCCTGTTATACATAATTATTAGTAACGAACTAAAATGTTAGCTAATCACTGATTTCTATAATTGTGTTGCATTCGTTTCCCTTATGTGCCTTACGCTCAGGCGCACCATTTCTCTCCCCTAATACTAGCAGCGAATATTTTAGCAGCCAATGGCCACGTCATTAGTCTTGTACTGACTTGTTTGGGGTGCGCAATAGGAAATATTTCACTTTTGGAGAACAAAAAAATAGGGTTATCTGTGTTATGCTTATTAATTTGTGCAGTTATTCGGTATCTGGTAAGTTAATGTTCAAGAAAAAAACTTAATTTTTATTAATATGTTCTATTATTTTATGTTAACGATGACTCATTTATTTCAGCCCTTTGCACTCAGCATGTCTCTATTGAATAAACCTACGTTTCCATGAAAATTGAAGCTTCGTTTTTTTTGCGGCCCACATAAACTTAAACCTTGTTTAGTTGGCCCGTGTTACCCTTTGAGTTTGACATGCTTGCTGTACAACATTAAAAACAAAGGCCCAGGGAAGCACACCATGGTTAGGCCTCGAGAAGGAAGGAGAGGGAGATTAGTGCAGAGCGGGAGAGAAAGGCTTTAAAAGCATGGCAGACTGCCTGGCTGGCATGGCTCAATGATTGAGCATCAACCTATGAACCAGGAGGCCAGAGTTCGATTCCCGGTCAGGGCACATGTCCCAATTTTGGGCTCCATCCCCAGTGGGGGACATTGGCAGCCAACCAATGATTCCCTCTCATCACTGATGTTTCTATCTCCCTCTCCCCCTTTTTGAAATCAATAAAAATATTGATGGCAAACGCATCGTGATTTTCTACCCCCATACCAGCTCCTGTCCCCTTGATGACTGTGGAAGAGCCTCAAGATCAGTCCTGAGCCCCATGAGGATGGGCAGCTAGTGACTCTCAGCCCACAGGTTCTCACTCCACTTTCTTCCTGGCAGAAGCAGAGCAGGGCAGCCCAGCTCACTCTCCCGAGGTGAGTGATTCCCACCCCGAAGCCTGTGACCTCCCCAAGGCACACCTTCCAGCTTCCTCCCCGACTCCTCCGGAACCCTGGCCTGAAGCTTCCCACGGGGGAAATGAATTGCGAACGTCTAGCTCAATATAAGCCAGATGAGGCTGCTGCTATTCACACTGTCTTTGTAGGGACAAAGGCTTCTCCTGTCGCTGCTGCCAAATTACTATTCATAATCAAGCCTATTGAGGCCTCTGAGACAGAGCTGAAAGCACCCTCAGTGCGGCAGACTCAGCCCTCCGGCAGGTGCGCCAGGTGAGCGGCTCGCGCTGGCATCCCAAGAGCCA